TAGCAAAGGTTTGTTTTGGGATGTACTAGTCCTTTGTACTAGTTTTGGGTTAACGCAAAGTTGCAAGGTGGAGGTGGGCACAACGATGGTGTGTGACAAAAATGACATGTCGTGTAGAATTACTATTTATGAATAGTTGTAAAATAAAATTCTAAATAGAAAAATGAAATTTTTTCCAAAAACTTGACTAGCAAGGAGAGGGTAATCAACTATGAACAAGTGATTTCAAAGAAGAAACATAAAACCGCTAATAATTATAAAAAAACTAAATATAATGGTTGAACCTAGTATTCGAACCCTACACCTATTCTAGCAAACTTAATAGTAAACTACTAGCTTAACCACTAAGTTGCCAAAGTTTCTTGTTTTGTATGCTAAAGTTTGTGGAAACTATTAAGTGTGCTGATGTTAGCAAAGGATTAAAAAAAGTGAAAGCTAATTGACTTTATCGAACCATGAACCTGTTTTTTATTCTGGGCCGAATGCCCATTCTCACTTCGTTAGCCTCCATTTTTGGACAGCTTCTTTTAAATATCTTTCTTTGGGCTTCATATACCTAGTCAGCCCACGTTCCATCTCGTGAGTGGTTGAGAAACAATCAGAAGCTACACTTCGATCGTCTTCTTCCTGTTCGTATTTCAAATTTCAGTTTTTTTTTTTTTTGTCAAATTCAAACTTCAGCTTTCTGCTCCACATAAATCCCCAAAATTGCCTCAGTCGAATAACAAGAAGTCATTCATAAAAAAAAATATATATATAACAAGCAGTACAGAGCTCCTATCTACTACTTCTTTCCAATCTTCTTTTACCAGGTTGCTGAGGAGGTAAACAATTAATGCGAATTGCAACAGTATGGATCTTGCTAGGTTGTACCTGATGCATACTAAGCAGGCGTGACTATTTCCATAATAGCATATTGATACAACATGGTCCCTATTATTATTTTGAGGGTATGGCATAGCTAGTTTTAAAACAAATATGTGCGATAAACAAAATTCGCAGAACTTGACCCAGGAAGGTTTGACATCATCAGTGATAGAACATTGAGGCGCCGCCGTTGATGTGTTGGTGACGGAACTTGGAAGCGAGGCTAATGGCGCCGGGGTCATCAAAGACCATTTGTGTCGTCGTAGGAGGACTCTTCGGTGGGGAGGTCACCCCTTTTTCTTTCGACGAAGGTCTCTGCAACTCGTTCGAGAAGCCATAACGCCAATTGCCAGAAAATGCGAGTAGAGGAGCAACCTTCCTTCTTCTTCTGGTTGCAAGGATTCGAAATCCCTTACGCAAGGAGAGTCTAAGCTGTTGGTGAGCGATGAATTTGAGGCCGACAAGGGAGATTAGAAAGTGTAGGGAGAGGGGTAGCGGCGTCTAGCGGCGGAGGACGGAGGAACAGGGGAAGAGGATAGGGTATTAGGGTAGCACCGACGCCATTGAAAATGATAGGGTTCGAACGAAGCATAAAAACAAAAATGGAGAAGAGAGGGTCAGGATTGGGGGAACGAAGTGCGGGTAGGGTTGGATGGGGTAGGTACGGAGGTACCCTTTATGTTTTGGGGTGGTTGAATTTGGGGTCAATCAAAATATTGAAAAAACCCAACCCAACTCAAACTACCCAACCCACGGACATAGTGGACTAAAATGAAAGAAAAACTAATTCTATGAGTCTTCCTGTAATTTTATTTAATTAAATCACTAATATATAAATCAATTAACCAGAAATAATCTCAGTCATCGAGATCGCACGTACGGTCAAGGTACGCCATACCCCGGATTTTACCCGGGGTACCATAGAACTCGCCATATATATATATATATATATATATATAGTGCCTTCTACGGTACCCCGGGTGAAATCCGGGGTATCGCATACCTTGAGTATGAAAACGCTATCTAGATCTCGAATTAGCAGGATTTTTGGGAGAAAAACTTAGATGGGACGGGTGCACCAGCAAGGATTGGTGACGTGGTGCACCCGACCAATCCCGTCCCGACACGTGTCAATAATAGGCATTAAAAATCAGAACTTAAGAATCCCCTTTTATTTCTGCGTTCCATTTTTCTATTCCCTTCCTAATGTCATTTATCCACGCGGAATTTCCAGTACCCAAACCGATAAACATCACCGTTGTAGAACCATTGTACGCCGACGAGATTGAAATGTCTATTGATCGTCACAATATCGATTGAAGTTTCAGTCTTCCGGTACACAGCTACCAGGTCAGGGTTCGACTTCGTTTTCATCTTAACCAGTATTGGCTCATCATATTGAAAATTGACGACGGCGAGTTGAAGCGCCAGGCTCTGGTCAATCTGAGCTCGAAAGAGGTACGAAGATATCGCTCCTCTGATTCACTCCCGACATGACGCGACGGCAACGGAAAGCCCAGAGACCTAACTAAACGATTCCCTCCCTGCTATCCGTTCCCGATTTCTCCGTAGAAACCATGGTAAATTGTTTCTGCTGTAGTTAGAAATCCCTATCGTCCGAATTGATCATCCCGATCTCACCGTAGAAAGAAACTCGCCGGCGAGACGAGGAAAGCCTAGTCTCCCGCAACGGCCACACCGCAACACAGAGAAAGGTTTTTTTTTTTTGTTGAATCAGAAAGGGGACTTCTTAAGTTCTAATTTTTAATGCCTATTATTGACACGTGTCGGGACGGGATTGGTCGGGTGCACCACGTCACCAATCATTGCTGGTGCACCCGTCCCATCTAAGTTTTTCTCGATTTTTGGGCATGATACTATACCCTAACCCTTAATGAGTGAACCCTAGGTCCTAATTATCTAAATCATAAACTATAAAGCCTAAGATGGTGCATTGATTTTTTTGCCTATATTTGGACGAATCATGGTCGTCGATTATTAATTCTAATTAAATTGATCTTGAGGTATAAGATTTAGAGAACTAAGACCTAGATTTTGATCTTTAAGGGTTAGAGTATAGTATCATGTCCGAAAGATCAGTCAATTCAAGTTCTGTATAGCGTTTTCTTACTCAAGGTATGCGATACCCCAGATTTCACCCTGGGTACCGTAGAACTCCCCATATATATATATATATATATATATATATATATATATATATATATATATATATATATATATATAGTGCACTCACTTTTTTGGGTGCATTCAATGCACCCGCCTCATAATCGTCATTCTGAGCAAGCGATTCATGTGAAAACGATGTCAATCATCACTTGTGGTATGATAAACAAGAACCACATGAATTTGTACAAAAATCATTCAAGATTCACTTTAATTTGAATGATTCAGGCTTTAGGAATTTAGGGTTAGGGTTTACAATTTGGGATTTTGGGTTGACATTCAAAATTGAAGGTTAATAGGTTAGGGTAATGGGTTGATTAGTTGGGATTCTATGTTATATCATCATATTTGACTAATACAACCCATTAAATTTCAAAATTTAATGTATTATGACCACTTTTAGAGGTGGGTGCACTGAATGCACCCAAAAAAGTGAGTGCACCGAAGTAGCCACCTATATATATATATATATGGTTATGTCTTCGGTGCACTCACTTTTTTGGGTGCATTCATAATCGTCATTCTGAGCAGGCCGTTCATGTGAAAACGATGTCAATCATCGCTTGTAGTATGATGAACAAGAACCACATGAATTTGTACAAAAATTATTCAAGATTCACTTTAATTTGAATGATTAAGGGTTTAGGAATTTAGGGTTAGGGTTAGGGTTTACAATTTGGGATTTTGGGTTTAGATTCAAAATTGAATGTTAATAGGTTAGGGTAATGGGTTGATTAGTTGTGATTATGTGTTATATCATCATATGAGACTAATGTTATACATTAAATTTCAAAATTTGATGTATTATGACCACTTTTAGAGGTGGGTGCACTGAATGCACCCAAAAAAGTGAGTGCACCGAAGTAGCCACCATATACATATATATATATATATATATATGGGGAGTTCTACGGTACCCAGGGTGAAATCCGGGGTACCGTATACCATGAGTAAGAAAATGCTATCCAGAACTTGAATTGACTGATCTTTCGGACATGATACTATACTCTAACCCTTAAAGATCAACACCTAGGTCTTAATTCTCTAAATCTTATACCCCAAGATCAATTTAATTAGAAATAATAATCGACGGTTATGATTCGTCCAAATATAGGCAAAAAATTCAATGCACCATCTTAGGGTTTATAGTTTATGATTTGGATAATTAGGACCTAGGGTTCACTCATTAAGGGTTGGGGTATAGTATCATGCCCAAAAATCCTGCTAATTCGAGGTCTAGATAGCATTTTCATACTCAAGGTATGCGGTACCCCGGATTTCACACGGGGTACCATAGAAGGCACCATATATATATATATATATATATATATATATATATATATATATATATATATATAAAATTAATTTAATCCAACACAAGTATACAAGAATACCATTCCACCGTCAAACTTTATTAAAGCAACATACAACGATAAGAAACCAAACAATAATTACTCAAATCGTAATCCCATTAAATTACATGGAAGCTTAATGTTATTGATTGTTGTCGAGCAACTGTGCGCAAGTCTATCTTTCTACAGTGCTTTTCTAAAACTATTATAACTAGAATAGGTAAGGCGTCTTGTAAGCCTTCAAAGTTCAAACACCCCATTATTTTTTGTCTATTTTTGCGGCTCATGAAGATCTATTATTTTCTGCCCTAACTATGAGGATGGTCGTAATCGATTAGTCGATTAATCGTTTAACCACGGTTATTTATTACCGGGAGCTAACCGTTTATTATTTAATTGGTTATCGCCTATCGGTGTAATCGTTAAGCACCGATTCCGATTCGGTTATCGACTGAATAACCGTTTACCAGGTTATAGTAAGTTTATTTGAAACTATCAAATCAAAATTCAATTCAGTCTAATGACCAGAAGGTCAGTGACCCCAAGGAGAACTCTGAATCCAGCAAAGCTGTCCTTCAAGCATTTGGGAGGAGCAATAGCCACAAGGATATCGATTTCTCATGAGACAGAAAATAATAATATCGGCTACAAAAATCGAGTTGATTCCCCCACAAAAGAAAAACAAGCAATTGGGGAAGCAATAAGCCATGGTTCTACCTGGGAAAATAGTAATCAAATTGAATGAGGTTTCAACTCTATACATTCATTCAATCACTTTTGCCCTGGCAATTTCATCCCACACCCAAATCCCACCCAACCCTACTTCTTCTTGCCCACATTCTACAAAACCCGAAGCACGTAAATGTGCATATTTATACCTATGTATATAGAGGTTACCAAGAAGCTCTTCTTCTGCTGGGCAAAACCAAAGTGTCCACCTTTATAGCATTGTGGTAAACGTCGGAGCAGGTCAGGGTGATGACACAACATTCTTTCGCTTTCGCTGTTACCTTGCAGCTCAAAATAGTATTTCCTTGAGGATCAGAAGAACTAACATGATGAAGCACATGATTACAAGCACCGTAGCGCACATTACCATTCCCCCTTGCTTTTGTGTTCTCTCGGCCTGTAAGAGCGAACAAACAAAATTCGATAACGAATAAGATGCCATAGCAAACTAGCAGGTCATATATTGGCAGAATTGTCAAGTGGTGGAGACATTCCGATTATCACCGAGCATACCCCGAAAATCAATCCATGCCTATATTTTGCAAATCTCTATATGCCACAATCCACCACAAATTACGACTATCCAGACAACATTTGATCAATCCAACTGTTGATGGATTTGGGGAAATAATCCACCACCCAAATCCATCAGCTAAACGACCCCTAAAGTAGTCTGGACAGTGAGGTATTGACATGAATTATAATGCAAGAAACTGTACCTTCTGCAGCTGTTTAAGTCCTTCCTCGACTGTAGTTGCGACATTCTGAACGTTGTAGTCTATTCTATCAACAATAGTACCCTGACTCGGCACAAAACTTTCAGTTAGTTTGCTGCTGAGATTGGGGGGGGGGGGGGGGGGGGGGGGGGGATGTCGAGGATATGCAATTGATTACCCACCTGGTCTATCACGAGTACTGACAAGTCTTTCATGATTTGAGCAAGTTCATTTACAGACTCCACAACCTAATAAATAACAATGGATAAGAGAACAGATTGAAGTAACTCCAAATTTACAAGATCCAAAACCAAGGAGTGCCTCACTTGCCTGTTGAATCTCTCTCTCCCTTTCTGCTGTAAATGCCTCGGTCTTTTTAACTCTAGCCATTTGAAGATCACTAAATGCCTGCAAAAAATTTGAAAAAAAGTTACTCGCTCTTTCTGAAAATATGAAGGCAATGGTCAAAGGACAGGAAAGAAGAGACAGCACAAGTAACAGTGAGGTTTGAAATAGACCATACCATGTTATCTAAACCATCCTCGTCATCCATTCTGGATCTATTACCATTGAGGTTCATCTCCAAGTCAACCCCATCTTGACCCTGTGTTGCAAGACAAAAAACAGATGAAATGAGCCCAAGCTAGAATCAAAGGCTAGCTACCAATGGCAAGATACCTAAAACTAAAGTTTGGAAGAATAGGTTGCAGTAGGAGTTTGCCGGAAGTGGACTCCTGGGGTTTCTCATATGATTTTTAATTGACATAAGACGAGTTATTACTTATTACAAACCTCTTTTTGCTGCCTGAGGCGCTTCAAGTATGTTGATTGCTTCTTGCGAAGTTCCATAGAAAGATTCTGAAGGTCTGTTGCTAAGGAACGCTGTCATGAAAACTTACTAACATCAGGCAAAGAACTTCTGTTGAGCAGTAAAAATAGGGAGTTGCTAAAGGTCGCCCTTAAAATTGCTAAATGTCGCCCTAAAAAACATCAAAGTTACAAATTTAACCTTTTAGCTTCTTTACTCTTCCTTTAGCAAACAAACACAACTTAGTAAAGAAAATAAAACATTATTCAAAAGAGAGAATCCATCATCGTCATTCTGGAGTTGGAATTGTCGATATGATGTCTGGAGCATGATTAGCGACTCTGAATCGGTAAAGTTCACTCAAAAAATTGAAAAAAAAAACAAAAAAATGGAACCGTAGCTCATTTGCGGTTGGTCCATGGTGCAACCGCAGCTCACTTGCGGTTCCACCATGGGCCAACCGCAGCTCACTTGCGGTTGCACCATGGACCAACCGTAACTTGCCTTAGGTTGAGCGTTTTTTTGGAAATTTCGTTAGAGAACGGGCGACGACGACGGGGGGAACGACGCCGAAGAACTGATGCGTCGAGAGGGATTCGCGAAGAAGGCAGATGAGAGGTTCAGTTTGAGGGGTTAGGGATTGTTTGGTTTGTTTAAATTTTGAAATTTTATTGGGGGTATATAAGTCATTTATCATTAGAGTTAGGGCGACCGTTAGCAATTTTAAGGGCGACATTTAGCGATTCGGTAAAAATACACTATAAGCTTGGGGATCCAGTAACATTTAATATAAGGCAAGTTAATAATCCTTATCACTAAGCAAAGGCAAGATGAGTTCCCTGTCAAAAGGCAACGGGAGAATAGATCTGAATTAGAGGGTCCAAAAGGACAAAGAGGGGGGAATACAACTAAGTCATACCTGAACATTTTTTCTGATATTTGAATCTTCTGTTGGACCCCCTGCTGAAAGTCTCTGCAGTTTTTTCTCTGATTTCTTTATAAGACCGGTTATCTCGTGGGTTAAACCCTCAATTGTCCGTTGGTCTTCTTTACCATCTCCAAATGAAGGCATCAATGCTTTGGCGTGAGCCTTGGCTAACTCAGCCATCTTCATCCGAGCACGGTGAACATTGGCTGCTATGTCTTCCGATATGTCGACCCAAGCAGGTGGTAGACCAACTGTTGATGCACCTTTACTGCACGAATAAACAATGTTCAACCTTCAAGCCTCTATAGCATAACTACTCAAATGTGAAATGCTTAAATGTAACTACTGTCAGCCACCATAGATTCCTATTACCATCTGAACAATCTCCCTAACATATTATTGAAAAGATATCGGTCTTAGAAACAACAGAAGATGAAGATGAAACTGTCAACAATATGAAAATTTATTTTCCAACACTTAAATCTGCATATGATGACATTCCAAAATGGAATCAATCATCTCTTTTGCTTCACATCTTCTCTAATCCATTCCCGCTCCATTTCCATCCAAACTGGCTAAATTTGAAGTCACCCTATTTCATGAATTTATTCCCAAGGAAATTGCTCAAACCTTACAACTAATTAATTTCTCACTAACAAACTCAATTGCACCTTTCATGCAGTCAAGCAATACCCTTCCATTAACAGCAAGATGTAATCAATCAAATATACCTTTTGCTTCACATCTTCTCAATTCATTCCAGCCCCATTTCAATCAAAACAGGCTAAAACTAAAGTCACCCTGATTTCACGAACTAACCCTAAGGCAATTGCACAAACCTTACAACTAATTCTTCACGAACAAACTCAGTACTATTTTCATGCACTCCAGCAAGAACCTTACAATCTATGATCCAAAACTAAGCTTCACAATTTACGCTGCACAGAAAGTGGCAACAGAAACGCCGTCTCACCATAGATATTTATTACCATGCGAACAACTCATCTCCTTAACAACTCTATCAAAAATAAACCGGTCACTAGAAATAGGGAAGTCACAGATCATATTTTTCTAACACCACTACTATCTCTATATGCTGACACTAGAGAGCAAAGCAGACCAATCAGCCATCCAAAGTGGAATCAATCAAATAACTCAATTTTTCTTCACGTTTTCAGTAATGCATTCCCACTCCATTCCAATTGAAACCCAGCTACCCTACAGTCTGACTGACTTTTTTCCATTCCCAAGCCAGTTGCTCGAAGCGTACACCAAACATTTCAAAACTCAAAACACTCAAGCTAAGCCCTTTCAACCTATGATCCTCCAACAAACCATATTCCCAACTAAGATTCTCAATTTACTTAAACAAAGAGATGAAGAATACAATCGATTCTCACAAGAGACCAGAAAGGGAACCAATTCAAAGCAATCCTACTAGCTCGGGAAAGGGGGGAAAATGTAGACACGTTCGGCAAAAATAATGAGAAAGAAATGTACCTGGAATTACCGGGATCTTCAGTACTGAGGGGAGCGTAAGAGCGGTTAGGATTGAGAAAAGAAGTGTTGGCCAACTCAATCACCGGGCCGCCGCCGCGACCGCCTCTGGCGGAGGAGCTCGTCGAAGCAGACGACAACGGCTGCTGTGATGAAGAAGAGGAACTCGTCGGGATCCTGACGCTCTTCAACGCGTCCCTGTACTTCCTGAATATCAACGTCCGGTTCCTCGTCGCCATTGATCGAAATCTCGAGATGAAAGAAGTGAAGAAATCCGAAGGACCGTTTAATATAGGAACGCGGAATTCAGATTCGGGGCGGGGAAGCAGAGATCTGGAATCATTTCTTTTCTTCCTTCGCAATTGAGGGAAACCAAGTGAAGTGCGTGATCAGAGATTTATAGAAAGGAACGAAATTACACGCTTGTTTCCACGGCAGAGGATCAGGCCGCCGGCGGCGAGAAATTGGGCGGAAGCGGAGGAAAACTGCGACGGACGGAAGGGGAGAAAGACTTGACTAACAGACGGGGGAAAAGGACTGATCGGAAATAATGAAAACAAAAATTCATATGGCCAAAAAATTGATTTAACAGAAAATCGTAGAGTTCGTTGGCGGTTGGTCCAACAACAGTAGCTTACTGGGCCCGAAACTAATTGGGCTCGTAAGGAAGTTTGGACTGCACAGTTGTCATTGTTGGTCTAGCAAGCTTAAGGTGGTCATTTGAGTGTTGACTTTGAAAAAAATAAAGTACTACTTGATTTTTTTTAATTTGGAAAATGAAGAATTACTGATAAATTTGAGTAATTATAGATTTGAAAATATTGTTCATGGGGTGAAGCTTTGATATATTTCCACATAACAGACTTTGAAGACATATTCCACACACGATTTTCTTTCGTCAAATTGAAAAGTGTTGCGATCAAAACTTAACTAAACTCTTCAAAAGTATTGAACTTTGAATTAATGGGAATCTTCCACATAGATTTTCGGAAACGAGGACTTGTAACTTGTAAGAATGTTATTTTAGAGTCTTTCAATTCTAGAATCTTTACTCTCAAAGATCTTCTTGTAAGCTATATTAATGTTATAAGAATCCTTCCCAATATGTGTCCATACCATCCGTCAATAAATTTTGAAGAGGGATACTTGAGATGGCAACTTGATCTTCCAAAAGAAACATCTCATTCTGCTTTTCCGAATCCCAAATGCTAGAATCTCTACTGATTAGGGAATCAATAGTGGTATTTGGATCCATGTCTCCCAATTAAAGGTTCTGGGTGAACTAGGGTTTACCCAAAATCCATAAATCATTCCATATACGTAAGTTACTGTCATTGTCAACTCTCCATTGAACATCTTCTACAATTTTAGTGTTAACTCTCATTAGATCGTGTCACTAGGGAATCCTCCCTAGTCATTCTCTCTTCTTCTTTAGAGTCAAAGCAGTTTAAGAAAACCAGACAACCTAAAAACTCTGACGGGTAAGCTAATAAGATTATGGGTCAATTATGTAATTCATGTGAATGTAAATGTAGACAACTAGTCAAGCACATTACAAGTTACTTTTATCATCAACTTAGCTTAAAGATTAATTGATTGGAGTCCTATAGAATAGTAACATATAATGCTCGTAGATAATGTAGTCAAAATTGTGTTTTAAAGTTTCAAAATTTTCATTTTTACGCTTCTAGATTTCAAAACAATTTCTACATCGAATCACACTTTTGACGGCATTTTATAAATTATGTAATCAAAATCGCATTTTTACTGCATTATTCATAGATTTAAAATTTCAAATAGATAGACTTAATTGAATTTGAAATATACTAGACATAAGTCCAACAAATACATTACAAGACGATTTGAGCTATGAATTACTAAATTCACAAACTGATCGAGTTAGTGTGGATTTAATTAGTTCGGACCAAATTTTGATTTTCATAATATCATCATTTTGCACAACATTTCGACCGAATTTCACGATACAGACGGCCTAGAGGGAGTGAGAGATAAAATACAAAAAGAGAGAAAAAAAAGAGGGTTACTATTTGCCGCCCGGGCAATTACTATTTGCCGCCCGTAAAAAACACTAAAAGGACAATTTTGCCCTCCAAATATTTCTTTATATTCTATTCGCTGAATGGTTTTTTAAACAACTTACACACTACCCGAGTCCCGACCACCAACCCCCCACAAACACCACAGCCACCGGACGGCAGCCAAACTCGCCGGTCACCGGACCAATCTCGTCAGGATATCGCCGGGCACTGGACGGCAGCCGTACCCCGTCGTCGGACCAGCGAAGCAGGTAAACCTCTTGCTGATCCTGAATTTTTTGTTCGGTCCGCTCGCCGGCGTCGGGCCCCGTCCGCTAGCCGGAGGCGGACCCCGTCCGCTCGCCGTCGTCGGTCGCCGTCCGAAGCCGGCGAGCGGACGCCGTCCGACGCCGGCGAGCGGACGGGGTCCGACGCCGGCGAGCGGACGGGGTCCGACGCCGGCGAGCGACGACCGGTTGCATAACAGTGTTGTATGTTTTCCTATTTTATTTCTAGAGCTAATAATTTATAATTTATTGCTTTTATTTCTATTTTACATAGTTAAATTCCTTTGTAGTTTGAATTAAGCGAATCGTATTTTGTTGTAGCGCTAATTAGTTTCTTACTGTCAAATTATCGTTATTTTGTAGAGTTAATTAAATTATTGCATGTAGTTTAATTTTGTAGAGTCAATTGAAGCACAATTAGTTTAATTAAGCGATTGTGTTTTGTTGTAGCCCTAATTAGTTTATTGTGTTTAGATATAATTCGTAGAGCTAAAGATGTTTAAAAATTTATATTAAAATAATTTTCTTATCGTCAAATTATCATTATTTTTTAGAGTTAATTAAATTATTACATTTAGTTTAATTTTGTAGAGTCAATTAAAGCACAATTAGTTTAATTAAGTGATTGTGTTTTGTTGTAGCGCAAATTAGTTTTATTGTGTTTAGATTTAAATCGTAGAGCTAATTTGGTTTAATAATTTATATTTAAATTATCTGTATTTTTTAGACTTAATTAAATTATTGCATTTAGTTTAATTTTGTAGAATCATATAATTTGTACATTTCTAACGAGAGTCAAAATCATAATTGCAGGTGGACATGGCTGACAATGTTGAACTAATTGGTGATTACACAGACCATTTTCTTAATGGCGTCCGATATGCCAATTTCGAAGATGCTGTAACAGAGACCAAAAACATCGCGATGTCTCTTGGTTTCTTTCTAACTAAGGGATCGATGAAGCCACGTGACTTGGGCAACGAAAGATCATTGGGTATCTGTTATATGTATTGCGACAGATGCAGTAGGGAGAGGAAGTCATACAAGCCGGATCCTTCCAAAGAGAGTCGTGGCAATACAAGTTCAAAAGGAGCGGGATGCATGTTCAAGATTAAAATCAAAGAAATACTGGTTAATCCAGATGCTCGTGATGGACCTACATTCTGGGAGATACAAGGAGTCGCGGAGCAAGGAACCGGTTTAAGGCGAGGGTATCACAGTCATGAGAAAATGCTTTATCCCGAGGGCCACAGTCAAATGAATAAATTGAGTCAGGAGGATAAAGAATCTCTTAAGCAGATGAGAGATGCTGGGGTACCTCCGTCGCAACAGAAGCAGACAATAAACAAGCAGAAGGGTGACAAAGGGCATCACACCCAAACCTATTTTCTTCACAGATATCCCTGGACCCAGCAGCGCCCATTCCGATTACGAACACATGGAACTGCTTCCTGTCTTCATTCGGCCGCTTGTCATTGCCATCCACGACCCGGCGCCAGACGGTCATTGTGGGTTTCGTGCACTTAGTTTTGCACTATATGGTACTCAAGAAGGGTTCACAGGGGTGAGGACACGACTTGCTGAAGAAATGCGTGAGCACGATTGGCGATACGCACCCATCTACGGTGATGGCATCAATGATGCAATCAGACGCATTGACATCACTACTACAGAACCAACGACTCAACATCATTGGATGATGGGTGTGGATCTATTCGTATTTGCCACACTATTTAATTTGGCGGTTGTCATGTACAGCCATTACTTCTACCCAACTCCGCAATCGTACAACTGCACCATTCTGCCAGTGGACAACATATATGGGGAAGCCCACCCTAGAGGAGTCATTGTTGTGCATTTCGTCCAGAACCATTGGATCAACCTCTCTTTCCCGGCGGACAAGATACCGATGCCCCCGCCACATGGCATGTGGCCAGACGGTCACCAAGCAAGCGTGGATGGATGGGAGACATATTTCGCGCCGTTTAGTCAAATGTGGTTCGATCTTGGGGGTGCGGCGAGTAACTTTCCATCACGCAAAAAGAGGGGTAAAAAGAAATAAACTTGTACTCGTCTTCAATTTAAATAAATTGTAATGAACGTCTTCAATTTAAATAAATTGTAATGAAGTTTGTTTACGTCACATGGAAGCATGATATAATAAAAACATCCAAAGTACAACATAAACCACATAAGTCATAATCAGATTACACAAATAACATAAGTCATAGTCCCAAAACAACAAATAAGCAACTGAACACCACATAACATAAGTCGTAGTAGAACACATAAGTCAACTCGTCTAAAAACAACAAATAACACTCATACATATGAAATAATAATCATACAACTACTGTGGAGGTGGTAGAAAATCTGACTTCCTCCTAAACTCGGGCCACATGTTCCCAACTCCATGACATAAGTCGTAGTACTCGTTGGCGCTAGCCATCCACTCCTCCCTACTACCCTGTGCAGCATCCATCACGGGAGATATCTCAACCCACATCTCGCGTGACAACTGTAATAAAAAACCATAGACAGAATACATATTAGTTACAAATAATTTAATACAAATAATTTAAAATATAATTGTACTAACCGTATCAGCATCCGAGATGTCATCAACAGGTCGGCTGTCACTCAGTATATGTGGGTGCGAGTGCCTAATGTACCACGTCATGTAATTCTCAGCAAACTCCCATGGCCTACGTCGTATCTGAGTAGAAAAAACATCCAGATGCACACTATGCGCCCCCAAGTTGTTCCAATACGAATCATAGACAGAATGGTAGCTAAGAGAGTATCCAAGCGTGGAAGCAGGTCGACGCACAACAAGCGGACGCTCCGGTGGATACGGTACTCCCTGCACGTACCCTAACTGTCGGAGGCACCTAGTGGGATCATAATATTCTGCTATCTCTGCAAATCTGAGCAGGCCCTGATACAAGGTACGTCTCACCGTCAGATGAGGACTACGACCATACGGAGTCCAAGTAACTGACTGAGGGGTCAATCTATCAATCGCCTGCCGATAATAAGCCAGCATCTGTGCATCCCTCCTCTTACTCGACCGGGGTGCTGTACCGCGCCACCTGAATGCTCCTGCCTGCCCCTGCTCCAGCTCTCGTGGCTCCAACCGAGTAGGCCTCAAAGTAGGAAAGTGGTCGTAAATCCAACACTGTAGTAAAGTCAGACAACCCGACACTCCCTTAGCCTCCGCCCGGGAGGCAATACCAAGCTGCCTGTACAGATAAGCAAGTGCTCCAGCCCCCCACGCATACTCTCCTAGCATATCCGGCCTCTTCACAAACAAGTTCACAACAGCAGAAACGCGGTCCTTACTCTTATCTACGAACAGTGTGGACCCAAGCAGCAAAAGAAGGTAGCACTGAGCCTCTCTAGCTGGCGGACCAGACTGCTGCAAATGAGTCAAAGCTCCCACACCCGACAAACCAAATCCTCTGTACCACCTAGACAGACTAGCAACCTCGCCAACCTGCGCCCCGTACTCATCCTCGTCACGATCTAATCCCAGTAGTGCTCGGATGTCAGCCTCCAGTGCAAACTTCTCCAACTGCCTCGGATCCACTACCATCGCCTCTCCGTCAACCGCAAGCCCAAGAATGTGTGCCACGTCGTGAAGGAGGATCGTCATCTCTCCAAACGGCATGTGGAAGGTGTTAGTATCCGGCTGCCACCTCTCCACAAATGCCGAGATGAGAGCAGGGTCCAACTCGCTCTGGAAGGTGATATCAACGAGGTGAGCAAGGCCCGATGTCTCTACGGTAGTCCTAGCGTTATCATCTGCTATCTGATAACCGCCGAGAACGTGACAAAGGGTCGCACTCCTGTCGTAGCAAGTGATCACCCCTCTATCAGCCTCTCCCGTGTACAGACGGTGGGCAACATGCCCAAGAAAGCTACAGAGCAAACTCGGGTCGCTCGGCCCGCCAGGACACGGTCCTCTAGGCTCCCAGGCCTCTCCTACATCAGCAGTAGAACTCTGGCCCTCACCAGGCTGTGGAGCTCTATAGAAACGCCCCGCATGGTCTCTATAGATCCCAGTAACAGCATGAACCCCAGTAACGACAGGTGACGCAATGCTGGGGGCACCTCTGTCTCTGATCGGACTGACTCGTGGAATACGTGTCTCAACAGCATCCGACTCATACTCCTCCGACTCGTCGTCAATCTCGTCTGAAGGCTCAAACGATGAAGTATGATGATCAATACCGGGACCAGCTCCACTACCACCCATACTAGGCATCCGAAAATCAAACTCAGGGAAACCGTCTGCCCTATATCTCATCGGTGTCACCTGTGGCCGTGGCTGTGGCTGAGGCTGTGGCTGAGGCTGTGGCTCATCTCTATCATTTGGGTCCTTATTTCTCGCACTAGCGCTAATGTTACGCCCAAGGAATCTTTTCAATCTCTTTCCTGGTCCTCCAGAACTACGTGATCCTCCAGAATTACCAGATGACGCCATCTCTAAACATAGACAATAATTTTCTATTAATATCTTATTGAAAATTATTTGTTGAGCAATTACTTGTTGTTCATAGAGTAATTATGATACATACAATTTGTTATCTACTTAATATTTCGTTTGATGTTATCTACTTAATTTAATTAATCTATTATAATAAATTATTAGATTAGCAATTTCTTCATAGTCATAATTTATCAATTACTAATTATGATACATACAACTTGGTTATCTAATTAATTTATCAATTACTAATTAATTTAACTAGATAGTTATTCAAATAATTATTTCAACTTACCCAACTAACACATTATATAATTAATTAACAATTATAATTATTTCAACTTACCCAATTAATAAACTAACGCATTATATAATTAATTAACAATTATAATTATATACAAATTAATCAACTATCAATATTAAATTAATTAATATACTAACAATTGTATTTAAAATAAATATAATAAATATTTCATTAAACCAACCATTCAAACCGAATCAGAAACCCAATCAACCGGCCCGATCAGACGGGTCCGACCAGACCGGGCGGACGGGGTCCGACCAGACCGGGCGGACGGGGTCCGACCAGACCGGGCGGATGGGGTCCGCTCCGACCGGGCGGACGGGGTCCGCTCCGACCGGGCGGACGGGGTCCGCTCCGACCTGGCGGACGGGGTCCGCTCCGACCTGGCGGACGGGGTCCGCTCCGACCAGGCGGACGGGGGCGAGACAGTATTAAAAAAAAAAAAATTACCTCGACGCCGACGACTGGAACAGCGGCGGCTTCAGCTTCTCCTCGGCGGCGACTCCTGGGCGGCGACTGCGAGCAGAGGGGGAAGTCGGCGGCGGCGGCTGCTTGAGGAGTTTGCCGGCGGGTGGGCTGGGGGAAGCTCTCGGCAGAGGGTGGGCTGGGCGGCAGGCAGGGAGGGGTGGGGTGGGGTTGGGGTGGGAGGGGTGTGGGGGTGGGGTGGGAGGGGTGGATAGATAGAGTTAGGGCTAGGGGCAATTTTGTCTTTTCCGTTCTAACTATGGGTGGCAAATAGTAAAACGACGGGCGGCAAATAGCGATTCAGAAAAAAAAGCATTCTCTTCTTCCTCTCTCATATATTTTTATCACCTCTCTCTCCATCTCTCGCTCTCTGTCTCTCCTCCAAACCCCTCGAAACCTACCCTTATCAACATCTTCATCAAAAAAAATTCTTCCCCTTGGATTTCATTTCCATAATTTCAAAAGGGAATTTTTTTTTTCGAGGGAAACAAAGAAACTCCCCAACAAGATCACAGGTTCCGGACAATCAATTCGGCGACGACCTTACACCACCGCCTTCTTGCACCTTCTGCGTTGATCGATCGTTAGAAATTGTGGGTTCGAGGAAAACAACGATAAAAGGGGGGAAAGGAGAGAGCTTTTTTTCCTGATCATTTCGTGGAAGGAGGAGGAGAAGGAGAAAGAAGAGGGGAGCTAAAGGGATACAGAAAGAAAAAGGCAGAAGAGCTATGGATGCAGATTCGTGGAGCGCTCGTCTCTCTTCTGCTTCTAAGAGATATCAATCAGCTCTTCAATCACGATCTGGTGAGTCTTTTCGCCTCTTTTCTCCCCTTTCCAATTGGGCTCTTCTTGTTTCAATTGAGGATAATTTTTGTTTGAATGGTAGGAAAATCAGTGGGATAATGTGGATTGGGGAGGATTAGATGTGTTTAGGTTTCTGAATTGTGAAGTGAAATACCTGCATTTTTAGGTCGCTTTGTGGGATTGGGATTG